AAGGTATGTATATATAAACACTATTTCCATAGTATAATCAATGAAAATGTAAGTGACGTTGAAGATCTAAATCTTATCTTTAAATAACATTACACTTACTAACCACTTTATCACTTATCCATTTCGTACTTTTTCGTAATCGTCGCTATAAATCTCAAAGGACGCTTGTATCTTGAAATCTGGAGTTACAAGTAACGATGATTAATGCTGCTGAAGTGAAATAAGTTTCTTAGCGTCGTCGCATCGAAAACAAAACGCGCCCACGTCGCTACTCCGAAACCAATCTCCCTCGCATCGTTTCGCGCCCCTCGTTTCTTTTAACGCGTCCCCGCGCCGTCGTTTTTACCGGCGACTGTGCATCGGCCATGAATAGGACCACGGCCCACGGAGAGGGCGGCCGCAAACACCTCTGTCACAGCACCCATTACCCGAGTAAACACCCACAGGCGAAGCCATTCAACGCACACGTCCTAACCGAGGTACCCACTGTTGATCCCGCCACTTCTGACGTCAAAGCTAGCACCGACGATAAATTTAAAGTACATGCGATTTATAAGTAAACTAGAGACCCGCCCAGGCTTCGCGCGTGTGCAATGTATTATAGATATAAAGCTTCTTCTTGAATCACTCTATCTAGTAAACAAAACCGCATCAAGTGCCGTTGCGCAGTTTTAAAGATCTAAGCATACATAGGGATAGACAGGCAGCGGGACGACTTTGTTTTATTCTATATTTTATACTATGATTTTAGTTCGTTGTGGCGTTTTAAGTAGTAGATCTGATTTCAACAGTACACCTCTTCCGGCTAATGATGATGATGATACTACAATAGAAATCATTCTTGTAAGTTTCTTCATACACAGACACAAACTTAAAGGGAATAAAGTATGCAACGTCATTTTATTCGACCAGTCTCATTTTTTATAATATTGATGTTATTGCGTTACGTTAGTATTCGCACCGAGCCGAAAATAATCCGACGATATATGACCGTAACATTCAGATGTAATGTGTTTGCTCATTCAATGATTCACAAATATATAAATTACCATAATAAAAGTAAAATATCTCCCAATGTTAGATTATACAATTCGAGCACATTCTGTCATTGATATTATTATAATGTTTGAGCAAATTTATTTTCATAAAGCATGACTGTTTTATTAACTGTGGCCTTATTTATGGTGCGTTACCAATTTATACAAAAAGTTAAAATAAACTATGATATTTATATTACACGTCCCACTGCTGGGCAAAGGCGTCCTTTGTAATTAACCCTACCGTAGCCCTACGGTAGGGTTACGGTATCCTATCGTATTAGTGGACTTCACATGTTAAAAGTACTTCAACGCTGACCACGTGGTAAAACGACACTTAAAAATGCATTAAATAATTGTATTGGCCCTACGATTAGGGACATTTGTTGCTATAGTACTGGATATACGAGAAGAAAAACGAAAGGATTAAGACATCGATTTATGAAATATTTATTTATGAACTATAAAACAAAATCATCAGTACTTACTTATGAATTGTAAACGTATAGAAGAAAATATAGCCCTTGATGCACTGCGAGGAAAGTGCAGACATTTCAGCATGTACATGATTGTTCTTGTTGGACGGCCGCCTCTGATCGTAACTTACTAAGCATTTGAACGCTTTCAATACCCTTCGCAATGTTAGACTGACTGGACAGGGCACAATGGATGCCAATTTGCATCGGAATTCTCCTTGGATGCCGCCTATACGCTTTCTAGCCTACATGATTACTCATATATGTACCCGTAGAATCAAGGAAGATCAGTATGTACCTACAGTGCTCGGTATAATGAGTAATAAATGATATACCTCGTTTTTAAAATTCGAATTAAGCTGTATTGCATAAGTTGAACCCGCTTTGAAAACATTTGCGAATTACAGCTCGCATATTATTAAACATTAATGGATCCTTTGCGTAATATGTCATTCCCACGTAGCTTTTAACCTTCTATTGTTAAATGCTAAAAGTAAAACACTGTCATAATTCTAAGAAATCTTTCAAGTACCTTTGAAATTATTTAGCAACCTTACATATGTAATCTATATGACACTAATAAGTTTTCTGTTTAAAATTCACTTAACAATAAATTTTAATCAAAACATATGACTCTCAGACACAATCATAACGCCGACTTGTAGAAAGTGATGTACTGTAAATACACATTTCCTATTACAAGTGCATTGCAACAGATAAGTTTAACGCGTTAAATTAAGTCAACGCAATCATCGACAATCGATTCGATTTCAGCGGCGGAACACAATGCAATTCACTCGCTAATCTTTTTAATGGGCAGTCTTCGCGATGCGATGCACATTAAATTCTTCGTCTAACCTGCACGACGTATTACAACGTTCAGACCCTCAAATGCCAGAGCAGGAGAATCGTGAATTATCATGACCCAATTCTCCAGGAGATCGTGAATTATAGATAGCTCATACCGAGCATATTGATTTTTCCACCGGATACCTTCTTTTTTGCGTTTTTATCGTAAAACCTAATATGTATTCATATCGGCTTATTGCGGATTGTGAATAATATAAACTTGGAACAATAGTCCCTAGAATGTTTACGTATTCGGAATCTGGTTATTGAAATTTGAGTTGTTCGTTTCATATTTTATAAATATACGTCTTTTTCATGCTAATTCGGTCGGCACGGAAATTCGTTTATTTTTCAGAAGGACATAAATATATAACACATCAAGTTCAGTCTTCAGCGCGACGTTACGGGCAATAATTTTAACGTTAATATTCATAATAAAACGGAATTAAATAATTATAAGAGAGGAACAATATGCCACCGACCGCAGTAATTACGCAGGCAATGAGCATTTCAATGGGGATGTTTATTTTAAAAGCTATATTGGTTTTGCGCAATGATTTGGTCGGCCGCTGAAATGAGAGGCGGCACCGCGTCGCCCGCCACTTTGCATATCGACTGATTATTTTGTCCGGCTACGTTGCGGACCGCCGCCGATGTGATTTTAGATTCGCCCCTTGTTAAAATTAACACAATTACTATATGTAAATGGAGTGAAACTATTTCGCGCTTTTAATCTAGGCGCCGATCGATTGAAGCGAATATGATAAAACCAGACAAAATATTTCAATGTCACGTAAAGCTTAAGTCGAAAAGTGTTATGATTATCGAATGATATAAACATCATTCGATAATCATAACACTTTTCGAAACATAGTATTTATATAATAATATACTTATTCTTACATATATATTGTTTAGTTAACAAATGCTGTTTCACAATATTTCGTCTTTTATCCTACTCGGTACGTCAATTAGCCTTTCGAGTGTTATCATTAAAGTTTCTTTTTAGTGGTAGTTTCTGCACCTCAGACAAAATTTAATATTTGTAAACAAATTGTCAAAACATTTTTCAACGCTGCCAGGATTCGAACCTTTCGGGGAACGCACCCAGGCTCTCTAAAGTCTGATCACTAAACTAAGCGGTCGATATCCTCACCGCGCGAAAATCTCGATGACTTATCTATTTTTATTGCAATTATAGCAATACTCGGGTCGAGTATTGCTAGAAATGCATAATTTTTTTTTCAATATTTTCTCTACACATTTTAAATAACATCCAAATTGATAATTGGCCGTTTAGTTAAAAGATAGATACATAAATAAAATATTTTAACGGTGCAAAGTGCACTTCATTCTAAATCAATTTACTCGAGATCCTGATCAAAACCAGTGCCGAAAGAATGAAATTGTTAGTTGTAATATTTTACCACCTACTCGACCATAAAGAAAACATCGAGAGGACACCTGCATAGTTTAACTTGACTGAATTGAATGTTTTGATCAAATTGATTACTTGATCCTATTGTATATACTCCAGTTTATTGGAATAAGAGGCAAATTGTATAAATGGTTTTCTCCTTACGTGCAAAATAGGTGTCAAATCGTTATCCTTAATGGTAATACCTTTTCTCGACCTTTCTACACCGCTCCTCTCTATGATGTAAGGATCATTGCTAGGACCTTTTGCTTTTTCTATTTTTGTATACGATATCCAACCTGTTTCCAAAATAATTTTATATGCTGATGACAAAAAAATCCTTAAAACTTAATATTTCAAAACGTTACATCTGCTCTTTCACTCGTAAATTAAACACAATCCATTTTTCTAACAAATTGAATGATATTAAGCTTTTCAGAGTAACGTTCAGTACCTATCTAGGAGAGTAACTTAAGACACTAAATCATTATTTGATGATCATATGATCTTATTAACTATGTTGTAATATATTCAATAAAGCATCAAGATCCAGGGTTTGTAATGCGTACATCAAGTGGTTTAATCTCTGTTACGAATTTTAAAATTATTTACTGTTACTGTATGCGCAATTACTTATAATATGCCTCTCAAGTTTTTCAATCCAAATTAGAGTATACATGTATAGATCGTATCGAATAAATAAATAATTTTTTTAACAATCTTTTCAATATAGAACTAAACCTTTGTTTCTGACTACACTAAACGTAGTGTAAAATTCACTCGTATCCACTAAAAGTTCATATCTATTTGACATGGTCGACTGAATATATTATAATAAACTTGCGTTATCGGCTAGAAAGAATTAAAGCCAAAATTCTTTCTTTATTTGATCAAGCTGATGTTTTAATGCAGCAGCTAATAAGCAAAGGCGTTGTTTATGTATAACTCAAACATTGACTTTGTTAAAAATTCTTTTAAACAAAGTCATTCTACAATATACATCCGTTATTCCACTTAATATTTTTTTCCTAATACTTTAAATATGTGCTAGCTGCTAGTTTCTCAAAAATGGCAAAATAAAAAAAAATCTTTTGGATTAGAATTCTAATTCTATTTGTATTGTTTCAGGGCACAATTACACCTGTGCGGAGATTTAAAATGCTGCTAAAACAAGAGTTCATCACATCGTGTTGATAAGCAAGAAAAAACGGGTCATCAACGATGGAATTAAAGTTCTTAACTCTTCTGGCGGTTTCGGCCTACGTATGTAAGTAATTGTGTAAGCAATTCTGAAAGTCAATTTAGCACAATCAATCAATTTAGTAGAGTATAATAAATTTTCTTTATGTAAAATATTAAATCTAAAAAATATAACAAAACGTGTATTTTGTAACTACGTAAATTAATAAACAAAGCAAGCATACATATAAACGAAAGATCGACACGAGTATCTGGAACAAAGCAATCGAAATCACCTAGATTGAAATGGCCAAGGCAACGCCTCGATTAGTATCAAAGGTGGACTATCTGAGTCCACTTGACGGTAAATGGTGCGGAATTAAAGGCTCCCGCTTCAATTTTCTTGTGTATTTTCAAATGCATGTAGCATGTGCAATCTTGGCGGGAATAAGCAGTGTTATAACCGACGACCTACACTTTGTGATATATGAAATGTAACTAACATAATAGAAACACTATTGCTTACTTAATAAGTGTTGGCTTTGAAGATTGTAATTGTTCTATTAAAAAATTCATTATTATAATTGTTTTATATTTATATCTCTATAGGTATAGGTAAATATTATTTATCAAAAATGTTTTTGTCGGTAAACTATAACTTCCTTAATACTCTATCAAAAATTATTCAAATACAATTTAAAAGCTTATTTTAGTTGCTATTTATGACAAATAGACAAGTAGAATAATAAAAATGTTTTCATAACAGAATAATTACTTGTTTTAAAATTTTGTTGCAAACAAAATGATGAGTGATAATTTAAACAAATTATTAATACATGGCCGTGACAATTTGTTTAAATGAAAGATAGCAGAGTAGGCTAAATAACGAAAGCTGTCATTAATTTATCATTGATGAATACTTACTTCACTATATTCGCACTTCTTCTCTTCCACACGGGTCAACTAGTTACTATATGTTACTAAAATATTACACGGATGGAGCAATGGTTTAGGTAGTGATCTTGACATTGCTCGCCGTGTTTTGGATTCGAACCCCACACAGAACAATAATTAGTGTGCTGCATAAATTGTTGTTCCGAGCAGACGTGTACTTCAGATCCATGATTTTTTCTGTCTATGAATTCTCCCATGACACAATATAAAGTCCCCAGTGCAGGATTCGTTTTCTAAAGGAATAAAAACATCATTAATATTCTCTGAACACTTGCACTACAGACATTAGAACAAATATATTATTACCACAAATATATTAAGTTTAACTTCTAAGAAAAGATACCTACAAGACTACACCTCTACATCGCAATCACTTAACAACAACAACATAACAATTGAAAATGGAAACCGTTCATAACGGCACAACGGACCATTACTTCACGTAACGTATACCTTAGACATCACGTTGTTGTAGGCACCCTCTTTTTTGCCATGTAGCAATAGTATTACAGACCATTGACTGTCCAATGACGCTGAAAGAGTCGACGACTTTACTTTTAAGGTACTCTATATGCAATCTCTTCGATATCTTTTAAATATAGTGAATATTTTAAATCGGGAATGTATGTCACTTATGTATGATCCTTAATTTTCAGGCACTTCAGTTAGCGCTGACGGTCCATTCTATAATGGCGGGCTAAATAATGAACCAAGTCAAGCGCCCAGTGGTAACTTTATTACACAGACGGTTTATGGCTTCCTTGATTTTACAACCACAATAGGCAATACGGTCATGGTCTTTTCACCGCATTCAGCACCACCACCAGGTCGCATTTTTTTACTTATATTAACCGATTCTATTTGAACCATATGATTATAGTCGCCGATTTTTTTAAATATTTCATGAAATATCATTTAATTTTTCCTAGATTTATATTTATTATCATTTATTGTTTTCAGAAGCACCTAAAACTGACCAACCAGTGCAGGAAAATATTATTGAGACTAAGCCACCGCCAGCATCGATAATTGATGTTAAACCGGAAGCAATAAAACCAAGCAAAACGGCTAATAAGGCATCGACACCTGTAGTTGCATCAAGTGCCATTTCAGTAATTTCTTCTCCGCCAAAAAAGGACACTAATGCCCCTAAATCAGTTGTTAAGGAACAAAAACAAATTAACACAAAAGTCGAAGTGGTCGCGGGTCCCTCTAAAATTGTCGAAAGCAATCCACCAAAACAGTCTTCTTCCAAATCAAATAAGCAATCTTCTCAACCTAACAAAAATCAAAAGAACCCAACTGTCAAAAGTGTAACAAATATTGTAAGTAGTAAAGTTGAATTAAAACAGAGCCCTTCATCTGCTACAAACATTAAAAGCATAATAGAAATCAAATCCAGTCAATCAGAAGAAGAACCTGCCATCCTAGTCACTAACAACAATATTGGAGAGCCAGAGTACGATTTCCTTTCGCGTCAACCATCTGAATTTGTTGAAGAAACATACAAAGTTATAAATTTACGGCCTTCTAAATCTCATGGCCACAAACCTAAGAATCTTAAAAATAGAGTACATGCACCAACTCCACCACCAGATGATGATGAACATCCAATTGGACTTGTTACAACATTAGGAGGTACAATAGTTAAGGATGGTGCCACGACAATACATGAAACCAGTGTAATTGGTACATACATATCTGGTAAATATGCTCAAGTTTTAAATAGTAATTCCAAAATATTACAATCACCTGGACATCGTGCCAAAATTTCGCCAAGTCCTACACATAGAATTGCAAAAACTGCAGCTCCTGCAATAATTAAAAATCAAAGACATAACTTGGAACCCACTCCTTCTATCAATGGCGATGAAAGTAGCTTTAGCAAAAATACAAGAAGACAAACGAGCAATGGAAGCTCCTATAAAAACCGACAAAGGTCACAAAGTAACGACAACGAAAATCATGATGCACCTAGTCAAAATAAGAAATTTAAAAATAGAGTTTCTTCTAATTCTCAACGAACTCAAAGGTATATTCTACTGTAACTTTCAGAATTTTATTTTAATAGTTTTGAGAAGTCTTTTACTGTTTCAATGTTTAAAAATTAAACTTCGTTAATAGTATAATACATGTATTTATATACGATACTAAACTGCAAAGTTCAGCAACGGTTCTGCAGTAAGTTTATAAAAAACTAAATAGCAAACAATTTTCAAGCGATGATTTCTATTTTCAGTACTCGGTTTGGTCGACCTGCCAATACTCCTCAACTGGCAACCGTCTCTGTTTTCAGTGAAACACCAGCGCCATCTTTTTCAAACAGGCGTAAAAGTAGTCGGAATTCCGGGCATAAGACAACAGTGACACAACCGAGCAACAATGACAGCTCAAGACGGGGATTCAAACCTCGTATTCAACCATCGGTAGTTGAACCAGTTGCTCAGTCCACCACTTCTAGTATCTATAAATTCAAATTAAACCGTGCTCAAGGGGCAGGCCGGTGGCAATACAAAACAAGCCCAAAGCCTAAAGTAACTATAAGAAAACCAACTGGTGATGAAGAACAACCTACTACACCAAACGCTAATCCTCTTCTCGATGATCTACAAGACAATGATATTTCTCCTCAAGCAAGATCGGACAACGATCTAGACTTGTCCAGCTCTCAAAATGGACCAACAACACTTCTTGATAATGATAATGAAGATAATTCAATAGAGAAGCTTCCTCCTGTGGAAACAATCAAAGTAGAAATATCCACACCAGCTGATTTCCGAGACATTTATTACGAAATTGCAACACTCAAATCACCTTATACGTTCCAGGTATATAGTGGTATTTAATAAGAGTATCTAGTAATTCTTAGAGTATTTGTTAACCTTGTTATTATAATATATAATTTTTTCAGGTGGGCCGCGTCAAAAATACTCGCATCATCACAGTAACAACCACAATAGAAAAACGTATCGACCCAACATTGTCATATAATGCACAAAGCTCTTTAAATGAACCTCTAACAGAAAATATATTAGCAACAGCATCACCTTACGGAAAAGACCATTATCTCTTAGATTCTAGTATAGCTACATTACCCGCTATCACATTATCGTCAGATATGGAAACTCCACCCCTAGAAACAATAACGGAAACTTTCAGCACCACTCAAAATATGCTTAAAACTCATATTTTACCTGTCGTTAATGATGCAAACTTGACCAGTAGCTTAACCTTTATCCAAACATATCAAGTAACTAGATTCGTAACAGCAACAAAAACATTGCCACCCATGGACTATTTCCAATTCATACCGAGTAAAACTTTGAAAGAATTCAATAGCCGCCTGGATGAAGCTGGGTCTGAATTACATTTGGAACTGGACTTTGGCGACAGCAACGAAGATGAAGATGGAGTTCGCAGAGTGTTCCCAGCTGATTTAGATCTTGCAAACATTGGTTCTGATTTCGACCTTACAGATGTTGATAAACACAGAGCTGACAATCACTTACGACTGAAGAAAGCTCATGGTCAAAACAAGGGTAATCAGGTCACCGAGCCGCCAAACCCTGCAGCCGCATTGACGCCTGAACAAGCACAGCAGCTAGCACTTTTAAGATTGTTAAATCCAGCGGCCGCCGCCCAAATTCCTAACGTTATTACTACGTCCAAACCAATTCTTAAATACGAAACTGTATACGAATCTCACGTGATTCCACTCTTCAATGGGAAGAGCACTATTCTAAGTACGATATCTAGACCAGTAGCCACGGTCACTAAAACGGAATACGAAATCGGAACCAGTAGCCTTCCAGCTTTACCAATTCAACCGATCAATCCACTTTTCCCTCAACAACAATTCTCGGTCACTTCGACACCAGTTGTTCTGAACACCGAAGTAACGGCAACTGATAGTCAAATATTGAAACTTACTTTCGGTGCTAAGACTGTCTATACAACATTGTTTACAACTAAAGTTGTACCAACGGTTCTGACGTCATACGTCACATCATCGATTCCAGTACAACCCAGCGCAGGTTTCCCCGGCTATTACCCAGCACCTTTTGCACCATTCCCATACGTTGGATAAATTTATTCAGCGAGTGCTTCAAAATCTAATGTGCAAAACTAACAATGTCTTGAAGTGAAAGTGGTTGTGATAATGTGAACAATTTATTCGTAGCCGTTGACGTAAAGTGATTGTTTTAGTGGAAAAAATATAAACAGTGGCGTGGATAAAGCAGTTATTGTGTAAATAAATATAAAAAAGTAAACTTTTTAAGTTACATTCTCAACACGGTAATCAGTGCTGCCAACATTACGACACTTAAGAATAAAATTATTATTCTTACATATTATAATAAAACACGTAATTATACACTGCCCAATTAGTTAATACTTTGTAAATAATTCTATTTATACTTTTTGTATTTTTGTACATACATGATCATTACTAGATATTAGAATAGAATAGTTCAATTTTAAGGTAATCATGACTGTAGATAAATTCTAATTTTCCAACAACCTTATTTGAATTTTATAGTTAATTAAATGGGTTCTTGTAAAATAAAATATACTTAACCACTTTATGACTTTTAATTTACTCTTACAATCTATTATTTTTATTTGAGCTGGTTCATCCTTTTTACTCCATGAAATAGGTTGTATAAAATAATGTTAAGCGCTCTTGCGCTAACATTATTTTATTTAATTATATTATATTTTATATTTTATTATATTATTTTTTACTTAACCTATTTCTCGTCGCCAGTAATGATTCGCTTCAAAATTTGATGATTTTCTAGACATTTGAAAAGTAAATCGCAGTCATTTTGACGAAGCAAATTTCTACTATTCAGACTATTCAAATCATGTCAAATTTTGAAATAAAACCAAGACGTTTTACTATCATCAACATGTGCAACATTGAAAGAAATAGCAAAAAGAAAGTTTAAAAACCTTGGCATTTTCGTTCGGTAAATACATCTTCTGCATAATAAATAAATAAAAATAAAATAAAAAAGCCTTTTATTTCTTCGAAACTGCTACTTTGAAAAGTTAATTAGCTTTATTAGTATCAAAAGAATTAGTTTTAAATTTGAATAACAGGATAACAGGCTTTCAATTATTTTATCTACGGATAAATCTCGGAAAACGTAAGGTTTGATTATCTTTCTTCTGCGACTGCTCCCACACAGCAAAACAAATTTTGTATTCAAATAGGATCCACAATTAAAAAATATCACGGACACAAGACACACAAAATTTCGAAATTCGTGAATTCATGTGATTACACACGAAAGACTCGATAGCATGGATCGCTCAGATCAACCATTACGTGAGTTTTTTTTTATGTGGAAAGTTATTCAAAATAATTTATGTGAAAAGTTATAGCAGTTCACCTGATGATAAGTGAATATCGCCACCCGTGAACATCTACAAAACCCAAAGGCTTGCAGATGAAAGGCGCTTACCTTACCTCACTCACCAGGCGAAACGCAGAAGTATAACACTTCCACTTCACGCCAGTCTTCTGTGAGGTCGTGGTACTTCCCTGGACGGACCTGCCCATTCGTGCAGCAGCAGAGACTTTTGCGTGGCTCAACCACAGTTAAACTCAGCTGTATTCCCCACCTCAGCTCTCCACTGTCCAGCTAACAAGCAAACAATCATCGTTTTCAATAATTTTACGCTTAACTATCAAAATAGTTGACATTTTTGTTCAGTTCCCTGGTATAATTTAAGAATATGTAATAAATAACAATGCGAAACAGTATCCAATTTACTTCAGCTCCTAATATTTCACAGAGTGAGCTTTATTTCCCATGATAACTTAATTAAAGTCGTTTCATACTAAACAGGGGTGCTGAAAGAAACAAAGAGGCCCCAAGTTATGAAACTAAGATTAATGGAAGCTGTTTTGTAAACTTAATAAGTAATTTTAATCTTTGAAAGAATTTCTTTTTCACGCTTCAAATTTAAATCTAAGAATAGTAGCTGAACACATTTAATACGATTTATTTATATGCGTATGTTTAGCCTTTTTCTCGCTATTTCAAATTAATATAATGTAAAAAAATCTCACCTTGGTTCTAGTTAGTTAGCTAGTAAATTTATATTGGTGAATAATTTCAAGAAAGTGTAATTTTGCTCGCAAAATTCACTATCATTTCATCACATGTATGTGATACCTATATATATATATATATATATATGTACGTATACTTACTTATAATATTATAAACGCGAAAGTTTGTATGTATGGATGGATGTTTGTTACTCTTTCACGCAAATAGATTTTAACTTGAATAGTACTGAATGGATTTTAATGAAACTTAACAATAATATAGCTTATAAATCAGAATAAGACATAGGCTATAATTATTTATATACACATTTTATGTATATCTGTTATGGACCACAACCGTGTCTAATTTTATCACTATGAAACAAAATCAATCTTTTGCGCTTATTTCAATATCACAGTCTGATTATGTATTGACTGTGATATTTAAATTACAAGTAAATATCTTAAATTAGTTATTTTATTACTAAACGCATCCTGCATTTCGTCTAATGAACAATCTTAAACTAGCGTGTGGCAAATGTCTATTATGTCATTTAAGTACTAATACTCACATAAAAACATAGATAATCATTGACTCTGGTGGAAACAGGAAATCTCCGCTGTGCGAAAGCAAGTTATGGTCTAGGCTACCACATGATCTTATATCTAAATAATATACAAAAAACTGTGATAAGCCGTGATAGCTCAGTGTCCGGGCGCTCGCCTTTAATTCAATATACTTGAGCAACCTGAGTTCGACCCCCGGTGCCGGCACCAATGAAGTTTTTAACTTTAAGTGCTGACTTATCACGTGCTCCGCGGTGAAGGAAAACATCGTGATGAAACCTGCATCTTTTCGAAATAATAACAAAAAAAGACCGCGTGATGGACTATTCCCTGATGCCCTCTGTATAGAGGAGGCCTTTGCCCAGCAGTGAGACATGTATAGGCTGTTACGTTACTATACAAAAAACAATTAACATCATTCACACAAGAAACAAAATATAATTGTGTTCTGATAGTCTGTACAAATGTATGTGAAAATATTTAGAGGAATGGAATCGATCTCCTTAGAGATGCGTAAAGTATCTCGAAGTTTACCTGCAGTTTTATGCAAACATTTGTCAATTTCAGCCTTGACGTGTATACCTATTATCGAGAGTGGTACTAAGCAATATTGTGCTTTAGATTGAAATCTTTATTGTAAGTTTTCCAAGTTTAGAATATATAATATTTATTACTGACACAAGTCTCACAATTCAAAGTAAAAATGAGAAAGTTATATCTTTGTATGATAGAGGTGTGCCGTTGTGCCCATATTACGGCAAAAGTACTGGATTTATATGAATTATTTTTGTTTTCATATAGATTTAACTTCTTCAGCAATTGGTCCTTATCTACAAAAAAAATTGTTATATCATCATTTAATGTAAAGTTAATAAATAACAGCTTTGACTTGATGCAATTTTTCTTTGCCACCAACAATAAAGGCACTGTAAAACAGGTGCTATTTTTTTTTCTTCTTTATAGTTATTTGTAGTTTAATAAATCCATTTCATTCACACTTAGTCGCTTTTTGGAGATTTACGATCACGATTTAAATCGTATACACAAATTGTTTCTTTAAATCCTGCGAACTGAACAAATATTTTTGTTAATTTTTTTGTTATATATGGAGTCATTACAACTTTTACGATCTCTAAGCATCTCAATTTACAGCGAACATGCGGCAGATTCAATATTTAGCATCTGTTTGTACTATAGTAATTGATGGTTTACCGAGAGACATGGCAGCTCCAATTCCGCAACACTACTACCTAGTGATAGCTCAGTGTCTGGGCGCTCGCCTTTGATTCAATATACTCGAGCAACCTGAGCTCGATCCCCGGTGCCGGCACCAATGAAGTTTTTAACTTTAAGTGCTGACTTATCACGTGCTCCGCGGTGAAGGAAAACATCATGAGGAAACCTGCATATATTTTAGAAATAATAACAAAAAAATATATATTTCGAAAAATATGTGAAGTCCGCCAATCCGCAGTGGGGCCGCGTGGGTCCACCACGCCGCCCCACTGCGGATTGGCGCCCTGATACCCTCTGTAAAGAGGAGGCCTTTGCCCTGCAGCTTACCGGCTGTTACTTTACTTTTTTTTTTACTACCTAGTAGATACCAACACTGCGTTGAGCAGCATCTTTCTACGACTGGTTGCGCTACAGTCAGATAAAGTTCACTGGACCAGCGCAGCGCAATGAATCACAAATTATAAATTCTCCTTCCACACCAAACGTTTACATTTTGTACAAAGAGAATATCTTAAGAATCTGAAATTAGAATATTTTTATAAAATTACCTTGTTTCTTAAGAAAGTATTTGCAGAATAATAAGTTACAAGACAGAACAAGGAGTACAAAGTAAGAGATGAATGCATATTAAATACTACACGACTTGGACCGCGATTGATAAGGGAACCCATCCACATCAAGTAATATGATCAAAATTGCGATTTAATCACGAGACACGCCTACGTAGAACGTGTGTTTACGAAAATTATAATAATAATAATAATAAATAATAATAAAATATCTTTATTCACATAGACGCTTGCGCGTTCTTATGAAACGTCAAAATTTTACAAGAAATTAACACGTTCGTAAGTTACCACCGGTTCGGAAAGCAGTTTCTGTTGAGAAGAAGCCGGCAAGAAACTCAACAGTTGCTCTTTTTTAAAAAATCAGTTTACAATATAATAGTACAGGTACAATAGTCTTGTTTTAGCCTACGTGAGTATCAACAGTATTAACCCCACACATTGGCGTCGTCAAGATATTCGGCAATAGTATAATAGGCTTTAGCCATAAGTGTACTTTTAATTTTTCGTTTAAATTCATCAAGTGGCAGACTTAACATCGACTGTGGGATTTTATTATACATGCGCACACTTTGCCCCATGAACGATCTGTTTACTTTTTGTAGGCGAAATAATGGCGTAGTTAGTTTGTCCTTATTTCTAGTATTTAGT